TCGCTCTACCGCTGGTTTAGTCAACGTCAGTAGCGGAAGTTTATGTAGTCATATCTCTCTCAGTCTTTCTGTCCGTTGAAATCACGATTTGGAGAACAAAGTTGGTTTTAAATATTTTTTCGTTTTATTATATCTATATGGCTTAGTTTAAAATCAACGAAATAAGTCACAACAATTCTTCATGCTTAAGAAAAATCGACAAATTTTTCCTTATTTTTCGGTTACATACTCAACACTTGTTTGATTTCTTCATTAAAGTCCTTTTGTTAAATTCGATATTTAAATAAATCAGGGTAAGAGTTCCCTCGCCATTTCCTAAAAGTTACTTGCAAAAGACAAGCAGTTTGTAAATATGGTTCTTATATTTGCAACAGCTACAATTACGAAGGTGCATCAAAATCTAGCGTTGTATATTTTTCTTCACGTTATTTTTTGTCGGGTACAAAGCCATGGCCGAGTGCGTTATTTATGTGTCCTTTGAATGTCTAAGCTGCAGTCTGCTAGAGCCGTACTATCCATAGAAAGAGAATATTAACAATAAATAAAACAAAAAATACAAAGGTAATAATTTTACCAATAACAATAAAAAATTTCAATATTAAGATAAAACTTAGTACTATATCCAAACCATCAGTTTGTTCATGTGCTTATTTCACACCTGGGTTTACAGGTGTATGTTAGTTTTGAAATACTGACTTTGCATCGACATAGTGAATCCAGCGTAGACTTTGGGTAGAAGAGTGTCGTCATAGGCTTTTTTTACACAACTCTTCGTGAACCATTCTAAACCTCAACAACAGAGGAGAGCTTAAATATAATTATAGAAATTGAGATTTTGCTATCCTAATTTCAGAATATATTTCTATTTGCAAATGAAGATGTAACTTCTATAAAATTAATTAATTGATTGTAAGAAAGAAGACATTTACTGAAGTTGATTTATGAATAAGCCAAAGAGGTTTTACCTTAAGGCACTGAATTGCAGACTGATAAAATTAAGCCGAAGGCGTAGCCAAATCCAACTCCGATTTAATGTTCAATAGTACCATTTTACATTTTACACACAAGCTGTCCGTTCGAATTTATTTTTTAAACTCATTCCTGTTCTTATATATAGTTATAAAGCAGAGCTGTAACAAATTGTGTAAGAACATCCATGCAATAAGAAGTAACTAAAATAAATCGCCGCAAAAATGGAGTAGATTATATACATTTTCAGTTATTTTCAGCATAAACAGTCGTTGGTTGTCTTACCACGGCTTTATACTGCTGTTCCGGGGGTGGCTTTTAACAATCTACTGCTTATTCCACCAGCGCAAGATGACTTTTGTATGTTAAAATATTGATATTAGAAAAGATGTAATATTAGAAATAGTGTTGTTACCACTCGGATTCACTAAAAGCGCACAATTAGAATTGCAACGGTATGCGAATTATCCAGGCACATAATCATGCAAGCGTCGTCGCCGTGATTATCATCCCATTTCTCTTTTTTTGTTGTCAAAAGGCTAGTCGTATACCATTATGGCAACGTCAACAATACTTTAAAAACGGAGAAAGAGAGTGAAAAATGAGAGGTAAATTGGTGTTTGTTTCTTTGTACAAACAAACCACATATGTAAACAATAAGAAGCGTGTCAAATGAAATGAAACAGAAATAATTTATAACTTGTGTTAAGTTATAAAATAATGAATGGATTTAAATGTTGAAGAGGCCATAATAGATTCGCAAAAAATTTGCATTTAATTGCCAATATATGAAACATTTTCTTCAATCAACATAACAAGTAATACTTACAATATTTCTCTGTTTTCCTTGTTTTTGAATCATGGCGGTTCTTCCGCTGTTCCTATAGAATACGCCAGCGAGTTGAAGAAACAGTTAAAAACTGCAGTCCGATTTTTGAAACACTAAATACTGTAAAACTAACTATTACACATACCTATGGCTCTTTTCACAACGTTCCTCGCCTTGCAATGGATTCCCCTGTTTCTTTTTTTTTTTAGGAGATCCAAAGAACTTCGGTAAGTTGTCATCAGTGAAGCCTCTAAGAGGTAGTCTCTAGGAGGAAAAAATATTTGAAAGACGTAGTTTTTAAAAAAAAAATTTTTTTCCACTAGCAGCCAAGCGTTGCTATCATGGCGAGTCCAATAATAGTTCTATATAAACTTTCACTGGAGTGCCTTCTCACATGCGAGATCCGGGAAATTTGAAATTGACTTCCATAATTTTCGTTCCATTGCAGCAAATGTAGAAAGAAGTGTTTATAGGTATGTAAATAGAAAGATGTTGCTGATATACAAATATTCAGATTACTTACTAACATTTGGGTTAACGGTGTTTTCCTCTCTGATTAATGAAAATTAATCCATTTTCCGCTGGCTTTGAAAAGCATGTATGTATTTCATTAACACATTCAGACGCTGTTATAAATAGTAGGAATGTTATAATGGTCGTGAAATACCAAATTTCTGGCAAAACTATTCCTTTGTGCGCGCGTTTATAGTTCAATGCCTTTGCACACTTATGTTACAATAATTGATAACGTGTTTTTGGCAGCGCTTACATTATGATCGTTACAGGTAAGCCACCGGTAACCTCTCAACGCTGGCTAAGCGCAGCATTGGCGCTATATATGTACTCCTCACAGCGCCTTTCACACCAATTTTTTCCAGAACGCAATGAAATGCCGCTTTAGAAACAAGCAACTGCTGTCTAAGTCCACATACAGCGATATAATATATATTTTTACGTCGCTTGCAAATATTAAAGACAATTTATTTGTTCTTTTTAAGGTAGTGTTGGGAGATAGGAGGCATCCTGCAAAGCCCCTGATTCGTGGTGATCCTTTCTTGTGCGTCACGGTTGGCCTTGCTTTCCTCTTCTGAGCGAGCGTAAAAGG